TGTTTTTTTTTTCTCTTGACACTGCTATTATTTTCTACTACTTTCACTCCTTTTGCAATGTTTATTTTAAAAAGTCATGATTAGAATTTTAATAAAACCTCAAATATATGAAAGTGAATTTATACAATTTTTTTCTTTGAGAATTTAAAATAATTATTAAACTGTTTATTTACAAGAATAATTCTATAACTAAAATATTCTAAAAATGCAAACCAACTAATACAATGGAATGTTTATCATTTACCAATATATAACGAAATAAATATGAAAACTTTTTTTTTATTCATAGATTTATAAACATTTACTAAATTATTAAAATATCTGAACCAACTTTAAGGAAATTCTTTATTATCTACCATTTTATAAAGTTTGAATCAATGGGCAATTTACCAATGTTTTGCCAACAATTTGAAAGAATACAATTTGCCATCATGACTACTTGCTTTAATCAAAGTGGCCACTCTTCATTTAAGATTTTTTTCATCAATTATTAGATGGCTGACAATAATTAATATATTGGCAGATTTTGTAGGCATTTTTAGAAAAATTTAAAAACATTTTTTAAAAAATTAATTTTTTCAAAAAGAGTAGGATGTGGGTAATCTATAATTGCTGGAGCTTCGGACCTTAGATTTCTTTTGATTAGTCATCCTAGATTGCAACTATAAACAAAAAAAAATGGAAAATTAAAACCAGAAGTAATCTGAGATATAAAATAATTTGAGAAGAAAATGTATAATGTCTGGAAAATTCATGTTTATTTAATTTTTCTTGTTCTATAATTCATAGATATTTTTATAAAATTATGAATAAAAAAAACTTATTTTCATCATTATTTATCTATAAAATGGTAAATATATTGCATTGTAGTTGTTTCGTAGATTTTTATAAATTTTTTAGTAAAAAGATTTCTTTTCAAATATATTTCTTTATAAAATGATAAATAATGAATCTTTATAAAATGGTAAATACTAAATATTGCATTGTACTTGATTCACATATTTTTATAATCTTGTAAATAAACATTGCCAGGGGAGTCTTGGTAGTTTAAATTAACAGTCGTGTCAACAGAAAAAAATGTCCTTTTGAAACACCATTTTTTGTGGGCACAAAAGTTAAACATTGCTAAATATTTATTCAGAAAGATGAATAGATAATATATTAAGCTTCAGTTTAATGTCCATAAAATGGTTGTTTTTAATAGGAAAAATGGCTTTAGCAAAAATGAAATTTAAATAAGTAATTGATATAGTTGAATCTATAGAATTACCAAGTCACTATCTTAAATACATTTTAAAAACCTTGTGATTATTAAAAGATGAAATTCAGATCCCTGCTTGTTTTGAAGTTAAAGCTCAGAGAATTTTCATTACAGAAAAAAAAAAAACTTTGAGAAACAGTATGATGACTCCTTAGCAAACAAACCAGCACTGTTGTTGCTTTATATAAAACTGTAATTTTTTTTTCTAATAAGAACAGAGTAATCATTTGTTTTGAATTTTCTGATTAAACAGAATTGAACAATATCAATTAAAAAATCAGTATAAATGCATAACAGATCTACTAAAATTTTCAAGTAACTAACAGAAGATTAATATCTTTGATTGGCTATAAAGATTTTAATGATGTGCAATATGGCCTATCAGTTATCAAATTATCAAAAAATGAAAATTAGAAAGCCAAGTTTGAATTCCATTTGAAACTGCTTGGATCACTTCAACACATGAAATTGCAGGATTCCACTTTTCCCTGAAATTTATCTGATTCATAATGATGAAAATAGAGAAAAGTGTTTGAGTGTGTGTGTATTTGAGTAATTCACTCTTCCAGATTTACATCACCTGACCAAGCTGTAAAAATAGTTATCAATGTTGACAGATGTGAATGAATATTTATGATGAAGAAAAAAGAAGCATAGTAGCACTTTTACCTTTATATCTTTCTCTTTGCAGATATCCTGAAAATTAAAGAAAAAAATCATTAAAGTAAAATCACTAGAGATTAATCCACAAATATTCAGGAAATAAAGATGTTTCTTTTTATTATTACCTCTGTATTTCTTCACACTTTTGTACCTGAATATCATTTCATTCATTCACTTTTGAAAATCTAACATTCAAATAGACCAATACAAGCTTAATCACAGTCTTCTTTTAAACAAAAAGAGTTTTTCACTAAATCATGATTTTCATTTAAGTAAATAGTTTATCTCATATATATGTATAATACATACTTGGTTTGCCAGAGATAATTCAACTATTTAATGTATAAAGTAAAATCTTTAGGATTATCTTGTTACTTCCAGTGAGAGTAAGGTTCACCTCCAAGGATGACCAATCTGCTTTGACTTAATTACAACAAACATCTTCACCATTTTCTACATTTTTGTGCAAATTCACTGAAATTAGTTACTGATCATTCACAAAATGACCAGACAGATTTTTAATCCTTGTTGACTATCTAATGCCAAACTTAGGATCTTAGGAACTGCTTTTGGCATAGCCACTACCACAGGATTATATTCAGGAATGACTACAGTTGATGTGATGGCCCTTGCTTTAAGCTCTACAGATGAAGTAGATTCTTCTTTGACTATTAGTTTATGTTCTTCAGGAACAGTCACTACAATAGGAGCCTCCATTTCAATGTTCTTTCTAATGAATTCTGCAGGTGCTCGCAATTCCTAGTTGGCAATTTCTTTTGCCTTCTCCCACTACTCTCCTGACTCAGTGAGGGTGTATAGCACACAGTGTGACACAGTTGTAGCTCAACTATTGTGGGAGAGAGACATTTCGTCTTCCATTTTCTGGGTGACTAATGCAGGGTTAAGCTTCCGTTGATGATTCAAATTTTTAAATAAATTAGCTATTTCTGAGATCAAATTTATTAGAAAACTAGCTTAAAAGCTGCCCTATCAGGTGGCATTTAAGCTAGATCCTGCAGAGGACTCCTGATTGAGCCTTAATCATAATAGGTAGAGAGGAGTAAATGCAATAGGCAACAATAAACTACAGGACAAAACTGATTCTTGCATTTAAATATTGCATTAATATTTAAGCTTACCTTTTAAAAGTTCAATGATAATTCTTCTGCTGACAAATAATTTAAAGAAAATTTGATGTACTTAAGGTTCTTACTTTCCATAGAAACAATTATTTTTATTTCATGGGTGACTTTCACTGGATTTCACAATTAATTTTGATTATTCCCAAATTTATTTATAAGTTATAATAATTATCATACAAAAAAATCATGTTAAAAAAAAAATTACTAAAAACAATCAGAGTAATGAAAACATGGAAATCCAAAATTTCAAAATGTGATGACATGTTGGGCTACAGCCTCTAGGAGTAAAGTTGAAAAAGTATGACACAGTGACACACTGACATTGACATTTAATAAAAAGATGAGCTACTGAGAGTTGTGTCCTTTTGATTGAAAAAAGCGTGACAGTGACACATTAACATTTATTATATCAATATGCACAGTTTGTCAATGGATGCATCTATGAAAAACATTTATTCTTTCTACCAATCCTCAAAAGTTCAAAGTTCATTCCATTTTTAAATTATTTGATCATGTATTGGGTCACCATTTTAAACTTATATTCTTATTTTCCTTGCTACAGAGAGATAGTAAATTACATAGAAAGCAAATGGAGATGTTCAGGAGAATTGAGTCAATTTGAGAAACTTAATCAAAACTCAATTTGCTTCTGAATGTAACAAAATATACTTTGGTTTCATAAGAAAAGTAAGACAATTGTGCCTTAGTCCTCCTCAATGTCAAAAATCACCAGGAACCAAGTCTAGACTGCAGAGATGAGAGTCTGATAGATCTGCGTGGATAATGTGATATTTTGCAAAAAAAATAAAATAAAATAAAATAAAATAAAAAAATAAATAAATACGCCCATACACAACATGACAAATAGGCAAATGAGATATTCAAAATGGCAGGATACTTTCTGGACAGTATTTGGAATACCCATCTCTTTGTCTAATTCTTGCACTATCAATCACCAAATTCATTTGTTTGCAATCTGCCGACATTCAACATGTTCAGGTTTTCTGCTTGTTGAATGTTTTCCAAAAGTGAATCACTTTAAAATTCCCAACCAAGTTTGAAGCATAGGTAACAAAACTGAAACATCACTGAAAGCCTTCTTAATCATTTAAATAGTTTTCACGGTAAATTTGACCCTATTATTACATTAATAAAATATAATTTTGTTTTTACATTAAGCAGTGAGTAAACTATTTCAGATATCATACACTTTCTGTCACTATCATCATCAGTCCCATGCCCGGGTGTGGTTGTAGAGTCACTGTGCAGCTGAAAACCTGACCAGTTCCCTACACATATCTGGGTTGAAAGCTAGAAGTATTCATTCATGCATAACTTGCCTTGAGCAAGCAGACCGTGCAGAGCCCACCCTTCTCCTGGTCAAACCACAGCCAATTTGGAGGCTTGCTTTGGTCATGGATATGTTAAATCCATTGGAGGGAACCTTCCATCCTTGCCATTGAGTTCAGTCAAGAAACGGCACTGGAGCCCTGTCTACCCATTATGCTAGATGGCCTTTAACACTGCAAGAAAGTATTTACAGGTCTTTAATCCTACTTGCTGTCTAGCTAGAAAAGTCTGGTGAAGAAACCAGTTTAGTTGCCATGCAGTAGGTTACACACACCAGTAGCAATTGTAGAGTGACTAGACAAACATATATATATATATATATATATATATATATATATATATATATTTTTTTTTTACTCATTTTCCAAGCACACCCATCTGCTAGAGTAGCTAGCCAATCTGCATTGCAGATACCTGCTCAAGCACATTTATTTGTTCAACATCCACGGTGCCTCTCCCACCCCAGTGTTTTATACTGCAACTACACTGAGCAGATCTTAGTTACAGTTTCTGAGAGAGAGCACATAATCTGGGATGATTAGCAATTTGAATGAGGCCAGTAGGCTCAAACTCTCAGTTATGATTTGTGCCAGCCCAAACATCAATGACTTCCGAATAGTTCCATCTACCCTATTTCACTCACAAGGTTTGGTTTTCAGGCACTTTCCAAAGGTTCCTGGGATTGCCTCCACAGACTGATAACATCAAGGTCACCTTCAAATTGACCATAGTCAAATTTGAGCCCAGTTCTCATAGTCGGAAAATGCACACACATTATATATATATATATATATATATATATATATATATATATAAGATTAAACAGATTATCATCAGATATACCAATTACTATTAAAATAATATCTGTTTAAATTTATTAAATAATAGAAATTAATAAATAAAAGAAAATAATATAATAAATAACAGAAAATAATAATCAAATATATATAAAAGACCAAATTTTTTATTATTGTTGTTGTTGTTGTTTCTGTTAAAACTGCTTGAATATTGAATAATAGAAAATAATTGATTATACAGAATGAATAGTAAAAATGAATAGAAAGTAAATGTTTGGAATTGAGAAACTTAATCAAAACACCTGTCCTACAAATTGGAAGATACATTCTCCTCTTTAAAAAATATGCTATGTTAAAACAAAGTCAATCATTTGTATCAATGTATAAATTAGCTAGCAAATGTATTAATATTTATAATAAAATAATATAATCATAATAATATATTAAATATTTATAATAAAATAAGCTTGCCAAAGGATACTTTTTTAAAAGCAATATATATTACTAAATAAATTGAGACCATAATAAATAAATAAATATGTATTTTAATGAGTAAAAATAATAATACAAAAATATATAAATAAATAATACATTGTTGCCCATATTTTCTTTAAAAACCTATTTATTTTTTTCAAGCAATGAGAAATACGTCCATTCATGATTAGTCCCAGCATTGAAAATTCACTGTACATAGCCTTTTCTATACAAAAAAGCTAATGACTGTATAATCTTAACAAATAAGTCTATCTTCACTATATATGTCTTTCTGTTCCAATTCATATGCTCATCTTCATTCCTATCCTAATGTTTTGACTGTTGTACTCTTCAGCTTTCCTCAGATATCTTTTGTACTTGGTAACATTTTGGGAATATTGAACTGATATGTCCCGGAAAGGGATATATTTGTTCGAAGTAGCAAAGTGGTTTTGGACTACTGTAACCAAGTAGGACAATCTAGCAAGTAACAATAATGGACTGGTCCTCGTTGTAGTCGTAGGCAATAGGCGAAGACTATAGGCGTATCCAATAGGTGTCTCAGTAGGCGTCATTGATGTACCTTCGCATCAGTCTGTATTTATGGCTGACACCAACCAATCATATTACTGTGAGGGTGAACCCAGGTATATGCATATTCATTACATCACTTCCCTCTGAGCTAAATTTTCCCGTGAAATTTAGCTTTGATTATTTTCTCTTTTTAGGGTCTGGACTTAATCGATTGATTTTTTTCCTAAGTTTTTCACTTCAATCCTCCTTGCAGTGGTGGCGTTTGACACACTGGTACCTCTGGCCTTGAGGTCAGGGATACCTCCATTGGCAAATGTTGACTTACTAGAATGGGAATTTCAAAAGCGTCATACAGGAATCTCTTCGGTATTCTGTGACCTCTGTAGCGTGTCTGGGTCTCAATTGATTCCAATGTCTTTTGCACCAAAATCTTTCCACTTTTATGTCATATATGACCTGTCCAATTCTTTTGGTTATCATTCCTTCTTTCCAATACATTTTTCCAGCCCAAAAGTTCTTGAAAAAAACTGTCACCTGGCTTATACACTTTAGTCATCTGGTTTTCTTTTTTAGCAGTTTTCTTCACCGGACTAAGTAACAGCCTGTCGAACACAGAGTGTATTTTTCTCACAAACATTAACTCTGCTGGCGATAACCCTGACATCGTATTCGGGTTTGGCGTGATTCTATATACTACCAAAAATTTCAGAATACTTCTTTCACTCACATCCACGCCTTGGTTTTTCTTCAACGCTTGTTTAAAGGTGTCAACAAATTTTTCCGCCTGTCCATTCAATCTTGGTTGATATACTGGTATTGTCACGTAATCAATGGACAATGATCTACAGAATTCCTTGAATTCTCTTCCTGCTAACTGCATTCCGTTGTCACTGACTAAAGTTTTAGGGAGTCCAAAGTGAATAAAAATTTCATTAAGTGCATTTATTGTATTTGTTGCAGTCGGATGTCTGCACTTAACAATTTCTGGCCACTTAGTGAAACTGTCTACAATGATCAGGTAATAAGATCCATTTATTGGCCATGCATAGTCAATATGCAATTGAGTCCATAGGACATCTGTCTTTGGCCATGGTTGAATCTTTACCAGTGGATCCCTTGCTGCCAGTTGACATCCTCTGCACTGTTTCACCAAATTTTCTATGTCTTGGTCCATCCTCGGCCAATAAGTATAGCCTCTCATTAGAGATTTCATTCTCAAAATCCCTGGATGGCCAGTGTGAAATTCTCTCAGAATTTTCTTTTGCAGAATAACCAGCAT